GAGGATCCAGGACACACGACCACAGCAACAGGATTAGCCTCGACTCAGGATCCCGGCGTAGATATGGACACCAAAAAGAGATGTGGGGGAAGCTGGGTTAATCTGAACATGAGAGTACACAGGTAGAGACAGACAGAAAGACGGAGTAAGGTGCCCCCCTCAACAGTCCAAGCCTATCGCAGCTAAACTAACGTGTCTACATACATGCACTCCCTTAGGATAGGTTGAAGGGAAAGGGTAGCAAGTAGGAAGTAGGAAACAGAGGTGGAGAGGCACGCAGGGAGAGAGGTCCCCACTGGAACCTGAATTGGTTAGAGGTGAGGAGTAGGTCAGTGGCTACGTTCCACACTCCCCGGCCGGGGAATAGCACTAAATACCTCATTTTGCTGCTTATTATTAAAATATGTCGGGAATATATTTGTGACATGTTTTCTTCAGTAAAACAATTACTTTTAATCATGGAACATTTTCTGTAACTGTTATACTGTGAGTCGCTTAAGGTTTAAAACATATCATGTCAGAGTGCTTGTGTTTTTAAAATACACGACTTAATAAGCTGCATCAATATTTCGCAGGGCAGGTTCTTCTGAGAAAGTCTCAAGGTTTATTTTTTAGTTTTGTCCACACATATATTTTAGGCTAGATCTGAAGACAGATTTGACATTGGAGACGCCAAGAAGTGTTTTTATACTTGTCTTTAAGTATAATAATCCAACAGGAAGTCACTCAGTTAACCATCTTTATCATTTCTGAACTTCAACAAGCGCTCCAGTCCCAGCTGTTCTCTCTGGTTTCTGTTGTGTTTCAAGCTTCTTGCAGCGTTTCATTTATAAGGTGCTTTTAGTAAACGTGCGCATGTTTCGTAAAAATGGTGAATCCTTTCTAAATGCTGAATGTGTTTTGGCAAAACATTTTTATATATATCATCGTTTTTTAAGCTGCAGCGTGCATTTTCGAATGGAAATGTTTTGTAGTGCATTTGTACCTGTCGGCCACCGCACTAAAGGGCTATAGAGAGGCGAAGTCCCTCCCTTCCGCCCCATGGGACCTTATTTCGGAAAAAGTATGTATTGAAGTCAATGGAGAGAGAAAGATTATCTTTCGATCCCGTTTGAATTGTGCCACGAATTACACATATGATGTTTGTCAATTTAAAAGATCATTTTACAAGTCAAAAAAAAATGTCTCGTAAAACTGTGAAGTAACACTTTGTTTTGTGTGAAAGGCTCAATGAACTACATCTCCCGTCTCGCACCACACACCAAGACGGCCGTCACGTTGGAACATTTCACTTCTTTCTTTCAGAATGAGGCGGAAAGTATTAAAAGAGGTGAAAATCACTCCAAGTCTGGGCACGTTGAGAGCTGTGCACACACACAAGGGGAGTTAGTCGGTTCCGTGAGAGCCAGCATGCGGGACCGGGATTCTGGGATTTGTAGTCTTTCTAGTTGCGTATTTTTCATAGTCTTATATTTCAGCAGTTTTATATGTTTTTTATTTTGATATACTTTATTAATCCTCGTGGGGAAATTGTTTCTCTGCATTTGACCCATCCTGTGTTAGGAGCAGTGGGCTGCCATTTTGAACGGCGCCCAGGGAGCAGTGTGGGGAACGGTGCCTTGCTCAGGGACACCTCGGTAGCACTTGGTCTTGCCGGAACTTGAACTGGTGACCTTCCAGTTGCCAAGCCAAGTCCCTATCGACTTCGCCACCACAGCCCCAAGTTTTACAACAAACTGTGACTTTTTTGACATGGAAATCAATCAATCAATGTTTATTTATAGCCCAATATCACAAATGTTACATTTCTCTCAGTGGGTACAGAATATCAGTATGACAATACGACACCCTCTGTCCTTAGACCCTCTGTCCTTAGACCCTCTGTCCTTAGACACTCTGTCCTTAGACCCTCTGTCCTTAGACCCTCTGTCCTTAGACCCTCTGTCCTCAGACCCTCTGTCCTTAGACCCTCTGTCCTTAGACCCTCATATTGTACAAGGAAAACCCACAGTTTAAAGGGAACATGGGAGAAACCTCAGGGAGAGCAACAGAGGAGGATCCCTCTTCCAGGACGGACAGACGTGCAATAGATGCCGTGTGTAAAAATGGGAAATGATCTTTTAAATTGACAAACATCATGTGTGTAATTTGTGGCAGAATTCAAACGGGATTGAAAGATAATCTTTCTCTCTCCATTGACTTCAATACATAATTTTTCCGAAATAAGGTCCCATGGGTCGGAAGTAGATGGGCGGGACTTCGCCTCTCTATAAGACACATGTCAAGTGCATCAAACAACGCAAGTAAAGATAATGCAAAGAAACAAAGAGAGTTTGTTAAGAGACTCAGTAAGGGTTGGATATTCTGGGCAGCTGTGAAGTGACTCTGCAGTGTACACACTGCACACACCGTACACACTGCACACACTGCACACTGCACACTGCACACACCGTACACACTGCACACTGTCTGGCTAATGGCTGTAACTCCCTGACAGCTGATCTAGACACTGGGTCGTAGTAAATGAAGCGTTGCACTAATGGTCTCACCTGCCACAGCTGTAATGGACATGTCTGCAGAGGACTGGGCACAGAGCAGGAGCCTGACAACGAGGTAGAGGGGAGGAAATCAAACAATGGAGGAAGAGGGGATGGAGAGGAGCTGATAGAGAGTGTTCGAGACCTGCGGCCAACATTCAATGTGCAGAAGATGCCAAGAGAAGTCCATCCTTTTGACAATCAGGAGAATAATGTCAGGGCTTAGTTTTACTTAAAGGTCCCCTATTATACTGTTTTTCATCAATATATCACAGGTCTCAGATATATCCAGAGCCTGTCACTGATTGGCTGAAACACCAAACAGATCATTGCAGAATTACCCATAATCCCCTCTGTTTCAGCCCTGTTTCCGGTTACACAAGACAAAACATCGTTATGACATCACAAAGTGGCCAAAATCTGATCAGCTCATTTTCAGACAGGTTTTTATGGAAATGGATCAAAAAGAGAGAGAATCTTTGTTCCTGAAACTTTCAGAGTCTCTTTCCACAGAGGGGACACATGTTGATGTAGAAGAGACATGAAGAAGAGGGGACACATGTTGATGTAGAAGAGACATGAAGAAGAGGGGACACATGTTGATGTAGAAGAGACATGAAGAAGAGGGGACACATGTTGATGAAGAAGAGACATGAAGAAGAGGGGACACATGTTGATGTAGAAGAGACATGAAGAAGAGGAGACACATGTTGATGTAGAAGAGACATGAAGAAGAGGGGACACATGTGGATGTAGAAGAGACATGAAGAAGAGGGGACACATGTTGATGTAGAAGAGACATGAAGAAGAGGGGACACATGTTGATATAGAGGAGACATGGAGAAGAGGGGACACATGTTGATGTAGAAGAGACATGAAGAAGAGGGGACACATGTTGATGAAGAAGAGACATGAAGAAGAGGGGACACATGTTGATATAGAGGAGACATGGAGAAGAGGGGACACATGTTGATGTAGAAGAGACATGAAGAAGAGGGGACACATGTTGATGTAGAAGAGACATGAAGAAGAGGGGACACATGTTGATGTAGAGGAGACATGAAGAAGAGGGGGACACATGTTGATGTAGAAGAGACATGAAGAAGAGGGGACACATGTGATGTAGAAGAGACATGAAGAAGAGGGGACACATGTTGATATAGAAGAGACATGAAGAAGAGGGGACACATGTTGATGTAGAAGAGACATGAAGAAGAGGGGACACATGTTGATTGTAGAGGAGACATGAAGAAGAGGGGACACATGTTGATGTAGAAGAGACATGAAGAAGAGGGGACACATGTTGATGTAGAAGAGACATGAAGAAGAGGGGACACATGTTGATGTAGAGGAGACATGAAGAAGAGGGGACACATGTTGATGTAGAAGAGACATGAAGAAGAGGGGACACATGTTGATGTAGAAGAGACATGAAGAAGAGGGGACACATGTTGATGTAGAAGAGACATGAAGAAGAGGGGACACATGTTGATGTAGAAGAGACATGAAGAAGAGGGGACACGTGTTGATGTAGAAGAGACATGAAGAAGAGGGGACACATGGTGATGTAGAAGAGACATGAAGAAGAGGGGACACATGTTGATGTAGAAGAGACATGAAGAAGAGGGGACACGTGTTGATGTAGAAGAGACATGACGAAGAGGGGACACGTGTTGATGTAGAAGAGACATGAAGAAGAGGAGACACATGTTGATGTAGAAGAGACATGAAGAAGAGGGTACACATGTTGATGTAGAAGAGACATGAAGAAGAGGGGACACATGTTGATGTAGAAGAGACATGACGAAGAGGGGACACGTGTTGATGTAGAAGAGACATGAAGAAGAGGGGACACGTGTTGATGTAGAAGAGACATGACGAAGAGGGGACACGTGTTGATGTAGAAGAGACATGAAGAAGAGGGGACACATGTTGATGTAGAAGAGACATGAAGAAGAGGGGACACATGTTGATGAAGAAGAGACATGAAGAAGAGGGGACACATGTTGATGAAGAAGAGACATGAAGAAGAGGGGACACGTGTTGATGTAGAAGAGACATGAAGAAGAGGGGACACATGTTGATGTAAAGGAGACATAAATAAATGGATTTTACACTGAAATCCCAATTCCGACACGAATCCGCAAGCCCATAACTCGTTCCAACACAGAACATCTAAACAATCACGTCGACATTGATGAAGATGAAACCCCAATATACAGTGAATTGCCCATCTCTGAGCTTTCAAGATTCACCACCATACTTGACATACCAGCAGATCCCATTAGTTCTCCTTCCAGCACAATACTACCAACTACCAATAGCACAGCCCCTGTTGGTGCAGCAGCAGAGGATGCTGCTCAGAACCTCTCTGAACTGAAAATAACTGGAAAGGAACCAGCAGAAATTGCTGAAGAGGAACAAGCAGACATTGCTGCAGAAGAAAAAGCGGACATTGCTGAAGAGGAAAGGGCCCGTTCCTCTGAAGACGATGACTTGCCAATCTCCACTTCAGACAATGTGGATGAACTTCCAAGACGTTCAACTAGGAACAGGAAACCACCAGAACGACTTCGCTACGCAAAACTTGGACAACCAGTATTCGACACCTTCCATACACTTGTTCATGGGTTGGCTACGGCCTTCACATATGCCTTAACAGACACTGAGTTTCCCTTGCACACATTGCAGCAACCAATTAGCACACAACCAGGTCCATGTCCGAGACGTACATGAGATCAGGGGGGGAAAGTGTAACCCAGGTTAAAAACCTTCAATCCTAGCAGGCTCCCGTAGCTCATTATAAATGGCAGCCAGATCACTTCCGTTTCCTTTGCTGGTCGTTTGTGATGCTGGTTGCTACGTTGATGCTACATGCTACACACAGGGATTCCTCCACGATTCCTAAACAGATTAACGTTTGGTTAACAATTGCTGCAATCAGCGGTGAGTCTTGTATTGGTAGAATGTATTTAAAATGTGTAATGTTAGAAATTAAAATCAATGTTTTGATGGCATAATGTACCTTAAATGTACCTTCAGTTTAAATGCTGTTTTATACTGAAAAACCAGAAAATTATTGTGCACAACCAGATAAGCTTTTATTCTGAAAATCCTTCATCTCCGGTTAGCATGTGGCTAGTTTACCATTTCTTATAAAGGTTAATTTAGTAGCGAAATGACATGGAGTGATGCACACCCAAACCTACTGATTTTAACACTGCAACTATAGAAGTATTATTATTGCTGAATATTGAATAAAGTTATTGTTTACAGACGTGGGTAGGATGTGACAACATCCGGAATGACCAGAAACCAAACCAGCCGTGAAGTATTTTTTAGAATATTAACTACAACGTTTAGAATGTGTTAAAGGAAAAGTGATGAAAGACAATATGAGGAGAAGAGTCGTGTTTAAGTATGTATTGAATGTACAATGCCTGAATCCTCTGTTTAAACGTAACAACGGACATTAAGATGTGGAGGGCCGGCCCGCAGGGAGGAGCCTACAGAAGCTATATAAGAGCAGCACCTGGGCGGTTCGGCCTCTTTTCTCTGCTAGCGAGGGCCAGAGACAGCTGCTTTTCTGTCGGACAATATCCTGTTTGTGACTGTACCGCGCCTTTTTATTAATTAAAGTACCAATTTGAAAACATCTCAGAGACTCCATTTAGTCTCCTTTTTAAGCTTCTCTTTCCTGGACGCGAGAATAACCATCACAGTTAACAATTCCCCTGGTAATATTTAAAAAAAAAAAAAAAAAAAAAAAACTTAAATCATAAAAAAAAAAAAAAACCTACCCAGATTTAAAGTTAAGTTCGGATGACATAGGATATTATTTATCAGGAACGAAGGTGCTAGTCGGAGGATTAGTGTTTCAATCTTTGATAACTTAATAATATTCATTCGAATAGTTAGAGAACATGTCACCAAAAGAAACTAAATTGAGACTAGACGCAGAGCCAGGCTCAACCGCAGATATCAAGGAAAGGGTAATAATCTGATCAGATGCTTTAACCTTTCCAATTAAAAGAACTATCTGGAGTGAAGATGAAGAAAGATTTATAAGAGTTACAAGTCTGATACTCCATCTGGAATATGCCAGCCTATTGGCACACAGCATAAATGTGGTCCGAGTAGCAGACCCGCCAGTGAGGGAAGACATAGCAGAAAAAACAAGACACCGTAGCTTGTAGGAACAAGACAAGGAGAAGGGAGGGGGAACTTCCAGAGAAGGCAGGGCAGACACCTCCAACAATTCAAGCTCAGGAAGAACCAGAGAATGCAGAGCAGACACCTCAAACAGTTAAATCTCAGATAGTGCCAGAGAATCAGATGCAGAACCACCAACCAGGAGGTTTCCAAGGAGGCACAGGCAGAAGAAGTTTACGGTTTGAGGGATGTTACCATTGCAACCAAATGGGCCATTGGACCAGAGATTGCCCGCAACTACTAAGGCAACATGCACCAAACAATGGCCCTCCATGTAGTTACCCTGGGGGAGGTTTCCATGATTACGACAGAAGCAGGGGGTCTCAGGGATGTCAAAGACGAACAGCATTGCCAAACATGACCCAAATGCCACTGACACCCTGGTATCAACCACAACAATGAGGAAGCTCAGAGGGCCAGACCACCAGGTGATGCATCTTCAGCACAAGGGTATTTTGAAATCCAGCTACATTGAGCCATATATGTCGCCACAGAAGGGAGAGGTTTAATGTTTAATGTAAAAACAGAATCGAGAGTAGCATTTGCATTTACACATAAAGCATCCACAGAATAGAACATTTAGCAGACTATTTTTGTAATTATGAGAAGGAAAGAGATTACGAGTGATGTTGTTCCCCCACACAGAAAACTATTGTGTCCACACAGCTAGTGAGGTCAAGACGATGGGGTTTCCACCCAAAAATATGAAGACGGAAACCTAGTACTCGCCCAAGACGGAGGATCCATACCAAATCCTCCTGTTTACACCGACTGCAGTTCAAGGGGCGGCGATACACCTGACGTGGAGCTGTTGAGACCTAAAAACAGAAACTCGCTTCTGCTGTGGTGAAGTCTGGCTACAAAGGGAGGTGTCCGATAGGGTCGCTTGTCTCAAACCAGTGAAGAAGTCAACAAGAACCCAGCAGAACTAGAGAGTGACTGTTAGCGGGAGAACAGTGACAGAGCGACAGAGACTGGCACAACATTTTCCAGCCAGTACATAGATAGACCCCGTCAGAAGACCGGGGCTGTGTTTAAAGGGGAACTTCATTTATTGTTAGTGGAAGTGTAGTTTTTTAGTCAAACAATTATGTGATTTATGGAGTCAGATTACATTTTTCTCAAACACAATTTTATAATCGGTCTGAAGTATCTGTTTTAAGGCAATGAGCTGCAGATTAAATAACATAACACTGATTGAGAGCTTGGATGAAGAAGTTGTAGGGTTTTAACAACAGTTTCAAGAATCAGTTTTTATTTATTTATGCTTGAGTAATTTTACTGATTTATAGTGTAGTGCGTAAGGCACTATCTCACTTTGAGTGAGGGGCACCAGCCCTTCATGCATGTCACCCTCTGTGAGAATGGTTCGTATGTTTCCCTCTAGTTTAGAGAAATATTATTTTATTATATCTTTGTTCAGCAGTATCAAACAATCCTCTAATCCTAGAATTATTGAGACGCATTAGCGACACCAGGGGTATTGTTTTTCGCAGCAACAATGATGCATAATACCAGGACAAAAGCCATTATTGCAACATGTAAACCATTTTTGTGCTAATGGCAGATTTGAGTGAATATGTTTTTATACCATCAGAAAGCCACACATCATACGATATTTTGTACGCCTTATGGGTACACGGAGAAGTTATATTTATTTAGTGCAACGTTATGGGTTTTACATGTCCTGTTCAGAATAGGGTAATCATTGCAATATTAATTGAGCATGTTCTGCTCAAAGGAGGGAGTGTCATGATTATACAGATATGTTGATTTCAGTGACGTTGTAGTTAATGAATAATAAAATGTAGTTAATAATAGGTCTCATAACGACAAAAGGTATGCCAAAGCTTGGGCCTCCTCCAAGGAGGGAGTGGTCCAGTTTTAGATATTAGACGAATAGAAGTGATGAATATGTCAGAACTCTGAGTAATATAATCCAAGTTTTGTCTACACAGGCTAAGAAAGCTACAGAGATACCAGACGAGACACCAGAAGAGACTCCTGTTCGGCCAGGTGTTGGGTGAGGGTGAAAGTTCACAAAAGACAGTGAGCTGATCCCCGGTGGACGGAACAGTGAGAAGTTGTAACGAACTTCACACGCGCTCCGGTTTAAAGGTAAAGAAAAAGGAGCAAATTGACACCACCTCACACATTGTCACCCTTCACTGGCAACTTCCAGAACATTATTGGGAGTTAGGACTGATTTGGCAGAGCTGGAACAAAACAATAAATAGAAATAAGATAAAGATAGAAACAGCTCAAAAGACGAATTGTCTATAGATTTTTATAGATAGTACACTAAAGTGAAAACCTATTTTTGTTTTACATCTGAAAAAGAGTCCAACGTTTTGTATACGTTATTATAGTACTCATTATTTAAATTCTGTAACTGACACCAAGGGAGAAAATAGAGATGATGTCAAGAACAAAGCCAAAGCTATTGTGGGGTCCCCTAGGGATAAGAGTCAGAATAGCATTGTTGATTGTGCTCATTACACTTGGCACCTTTCTGGTTGGATGGGGAGTACAATATCAAGTAAGACATGGATCCATTAGTCCACTCATAGAGAATGCCCACATCACTAACAAAACTCCAGCTGTGTTTCAGAGACTTTCACTTATCCCCAGAGCCAAAAGATCAGCTGAGCAACAAGAGGAGGAGTTAGAAATACTTGGTCCCAAAGGTGAGGCGATTACAATCAAGATGATTCACCCCCATATATGCAGTTCTTGTATCAAATGATGAGATGGGTTTAACTGATTGGGATATGTAGGTGATGGGAATTTACAGATTAGGGGAATCTAAAAATACACTGGATCCATGTTTTAGTCTGTGCCAGAAACACCCCTGTTAAGTTTATGGACAACCGACCGGTGAACTGAGCACAATTATTGAAAAATGATTACAGTAGAAACAGGCTACTAACCCACAAGTACAGCTTTGTACGTACAAACTCTATGAACAAAATTCCCCAGCAGATTGTGGCGACATTGCAGATGTGTTCAGTCACAAAAGTTACTTATGTTCTAAATAACAGTGAGATTTAAAGTAATGGAGAAAATATGGGGACGTTCTTTTATAGTGTGTGAAATATGTGGTGCTTGAAACATGTAGGTATTTTTAATTTATAGAAGAAAATGGTTTCCTGAAAGAGTTATTTGGAGTAGCCATGTTAACAGTGGGTGGAAACAATGTTTAGGGATATGGCACAACCATTAGTAGACATTAATTGGGTTTAGATGACATTTAACATCTAAGACAGATAGTAAGATTAGGAAAATAGAGTGGAAAGGATTGGATATATTTTACCTCAGTGTGTTAGAATTAGCTATAGGTAATGCCGCCCGAGATCTCTCTCTCTCTCTCTGCCTGTCAGAATGCTACGACCCCATCTTCAGACAAATGACCTCACCACAGGAGACTCCTCCTCCGGTTTAAAGACAGACAACCCGAGCTGAACCAACAACCACCTGAGGCATCCAGAACCATCTCCACCTGAGGCATCCAGAACCATCTCCACCTGAGGCATCCAGAACCAAACCAGCATGCTGACAAAGAGGCAAACTCATCGGTCCCTCAAACAGGACATGAAGTTCCAAACTGAGCCGCGAGATTTGGCACAATAGCGGAGTGTGGGACATGAGACCAGAATACACCACTCCATGCAACAGCGTAGAGACTGAAAAGGAGGAGATGAAATGCAAAGCAGTTGGGCCACTGAAAGAATTACAGCGGGAAGATCCAAGTGCGGATGGACTGAGGAGAAGACAGGATGGAGGAGGAGACAGAACCAGAGGAGTTGGCATGGGCCAGCAGAACGTGAGGGGGTCGTGGCTTGACGACCAGAGGGGGAGAGAAGGAACACAGGAGTGAGTGAGTTTACACATAAACACACTTATTAGAAAATAATCCTAAAAACACACGGAGGGTAGAACATATTATTCAATCTTTTCATAATATAAACAAATTATTCTTATAGAGATTCTTATTCATGGAGAATTTGGGGAAGATGTAATTTGTTACAATATAGATAGCAGGCAAATCTTTATTTGAATGGAAAATGTTAAAGGTAGAGCTGGAACCAAGCCAAAGAAAGTATTCCAATCTAGAGTATTGGTTTCTCCATTGTAGCATGGTTATTACAATAGGAGAACTGTTAAGGTGGAAACCACATTTGTTTGTCGTCCAAGATGTAGAGTTTTAAAAAGACACTAGGCAAAGAGCGATTGAAGATTTTAATTTTGAAAAAACTAGTACAATTGGGAGTAATACATGCGGGGCCTTGGATCACTCATTTTAATGGTGCATATTTTCAACAATAAATATCGTTCAGGGAGAAGGGGTTGCTCAACCCATCCTGCAGATGTTTTAAATCTTACTTGCAGCTTCAGAGGGAGCGCACGGCACCAGAGTATGAGTTTTAAAAGACAAGTGCCACCACCTCCTAATGCTCCTCCATTTAATCAGTGATGACCTGACATTTAGAGATGTTATTTAAAAGGAGAAACATATCGGCCATGAGTGAACATTCCTGAATTGAACTACAAACCATTAATGAAATGACTTCTGTTTTTGAAGTCCTCGTTAGAGCACCCAAGGTTCCACACACTGTTTAAAGGGGGTTAGCATAGTTATTTAAGTAGACCAGAAATGAAAATAAATGAGTATAATGAGTTATTGATATTCCACCGGTTTTCACACCATTTCAGGGACTTTATCACTGCATTAGAACAGACCACCCCAAAGCCAGTAGGGCTAAGAGACCAGTCCCAGGGGGAGTTTAGGCTCCAGGGTACAAGGATAGCATAGGGGCGCCCAGGGGAGGCCTAAATGTAACACTAATTCCATGTCCTAAAATACCGATTGATCACGACGGCCTCTTCTAGAGAACATATTACTTTCATACCTTAAATGGTATGAAAGGAGGGAGGGTAAATTTCTCATGAGGAGACAGTTACAAATGCTAGTAGAACAAGACGGCCCACCCCAATACAGATGTTGATGAAAATGATGAGTTAGTTTGAATGATGTTAAACGATATGGATGTTCAGAGATGAGGTTGTTCAATGAATGTCCAGCCGATGTGACTCTTTAAATGATGACATCATCTGAAGAAGTGAGCAAAATAAAATGCTAAAATGGAGTGAATCCATTTCACTGAACTCTATACTATTCCAAGATAGTGTATTTTTATTTTTAATTACTCTATACTATTCCAAGATAGTGTATTTTTTGTTTTATTATTACATTACACTGGTACAAGATAGTTTATTTCATTTTTATTATTTTTCACTGTTCTATATGGTAGATTTCATATATTTTCGAATCATTACAATTCTAAAATGAATAGTTTATTTTCACTTTGTAAAAACAAGTGCCTTAACACTGAGTGTATTATAAGAACGGTTTCTGTGAAAGGAGGGAGGAAGAAATGTTCTGATACCAAGCCATTGCTGCTATTTTGAAGAGCCATATTGAATGTTAACACTAGAAGTTATGCACAAGGGAAAACTTTTATGTTTGAACACAGTCAAAGTATTTTTGTATTTTTGTAAAGTTGAGGATATTCGCACTATTCCATTTTGATTGTATGTTTTTGATATGAGTTATGTACTATGCAGAGTTCAGATGAAGAACTCATTGATTTCAGTATTATACACACCTTTTAGGTGTGTAAGGAGGGATTGTTAGAAATTAAAATCAATGTTTTGATGGCATAATGTACCTTAAATGTACCTTCAGTTTAAATGCTGTTTTATACTGAAAAACCAGAAAATTATTGTGCACAACCAGATAAGCTTTTATTCTGAAAATCCTTCATCTCCGGTTAGCATGTGGCTAGTTTACCATTTCTTATAAAGGTTAATTTAGTAGCGAAATGACATGGAGTGATGCACACCCAAACCTACTGATTTTAACACTGCAACTATAGAAGTATTATTATTGCTGAATATTGAATAAAGTTATTGTTTACAGACGTGGGTAGGATGTGACAACATCCGGAATGACCAGAAACCAAACCAGCCGTGAAGTATTTTTTAGAATATTAACTACAACGTTTAGAATGTGTTAAAGGAAAAGTGATGAAAGACAATATGAGGAGAAGAGTCGTGTTTAAGTATGTATTGAATGTACAATGCCTGAATCCTCTGTTTAAACGTAACAACGGACATTAAGATGTGGAGGGCCGGCCCGCAGGGAGGAGCCTACAGAAGCTATATAAGAGCAGCACCTGGGCGGTTCGGCCTCTTTTCTCTGCTAGCGAGGGCCAGAGACAGCTGCTTTTCTGTCGGACAATATCCTGTTTGTGACTGTACCGCGCCTTTTTATTAATTAAAGTACCAATTTGAAAACATCTCAGAGACTCCATTTAGTCTCCTTTTTAAGCTTCTCTTTCCTGGACGCGAGAATAACCATCACAGTTAACAGTAATGTTATTGAAATATGCCCGGAATGTGCCCGCTAGCTTAGCGGCTAGCGGTTAGCATTTTCAATAGGAAATCTACATTGAGATAGCTCCCGTTAGCTGCTGAGCTAGCGGTTAGCATGCTAATAGTATTGCTAGTAGAAATATCTTATGCATGGGTCTTCACGGCTATCAGCCCTGAAGTATTGCTTTGCTGTTTACTGGCTGAAATTAAACAGATTAATGTTTTGTATAGAAATGGATATAGAAATGTTGTACAACCAGAAATGTATTTATTTTATTTAAGAGACTTATTTTTATTTAAATGCTTAATGGGGAAGATACTAATTATTCCTTGTGACCTTTTACAGGTCAGGTTTTTTGTTTGGATATATTTTTTTGCCAGGTGCTGATGACCTGATGACCTTTCATTGACCTTGATGGCGAGCTAAGATTCTAAACCTATCCTCCCTGCCATATGGTAAAGTAGGATTAAACGGAAATTAATGAACTTTACCCTGGAAGCTTTTCTTTTGTTGTCTTTTGCCTTTACTGGGCATCTGAAAATAATCGTGTGAATTTGAAGGAACTTGTTGATATCTTGAATACAACTATTTTGTAACGCATACCTGGTTTCAGTTTGTATTTTTCACACACATTGAGCTCCATAGTCATTCCTAGTTCTTCTGAATATCACTCATTGAATTACAGCTAATACACTTGCTACAAATAGGTGACCTTTAACTCAGCTCTCTTCTAGCTACCTCCTCCTCAGTGACCTCTAGCAAACATGTCCAGCTCCCAGGAGGATTCTGCTTTGACAGAAATCATTAATCCTCACTCACACTTTAATTCCAGTCGTCTCTCTGAGTCTTTCCTCCATCAGCTCTCCCAGATGGTTTAATTAATGATTATTAATTAAGGTTTGATTTCTCCTGATTGCCTGAGGAAGTTTTCCTGCAAACAATGGTTTCTTTTTTAGCAGTTTGGAATCCCTACTTAAAGGGGCCCTATTGTGCTTTTTTGGGTTTCCCCTTTCATGTAGTGTGTTCTAAAGGTTTTAGTGCATGTAAAAGGTCTGCAAAGGCTTAAATCCCTGTGTTCTAACACACCTACCCCTGCCCTAAACACCTACATTGGACTATTTTGATACGTCATGAACATAGTGACATCACTTTGTAACACACCAGCTTCTATTTGCTAGCGCTCCAACACATTGTACGTGCTAGGCTAAGGGGCGGGACATCTCTAAGCGGTTGACCAATCACAACAGAGCCGGCCAGCTAACCAATCAGAGCAGACTGGGCTCTGGTTTCAGACAGAGGGTGAAAAGAGGTGCTGCAGCACAGGCAGTATGAGAAAAATAAAGAGCTTTTTGAACATTAAAGCACGGAGACATGTAGAGACACTACATACTGATATACATCTGCAGGAGAGGACTCTTTAAAGTAGAGGCACTACATACTAATATACACCTGAACATCAGCAGGAGAGGACTCTTTAAAGTAGAGACACTACATACTGATATACGCCTGAACATCAGCAGGAGAGGACTCTTTAAAGTAGAGACACTACATACTGATATACACCTGAACATCAGCAGGAGAGGACTCTTTAAAGTAGAGACACTACATACTGATATACACCTGAACATCAGCAGGAGAGTACTCTTTAAAGTAGAGACACTACATACTGATATACACCTGAACATCAGCAGGAGAGGACTCTTTAAAGTAGAGACACTACATACTGATATACACCTGAACATCAGCAGGAGAGGACTCTTTAAAGTAGAGACACTACATACTGATATACACCTGAACATCAGCAGGAGAGGACTCTTTAAAGTAGAGACACTACATACTGATATACACCTGATAATGAGCATACTCAGGCCTGTGTAGTTATTAAATGGCCCATTAATGCTTGTGTGACAATTATTGTTTTGGATCTTGTTATCCTTGATCTAGTTTTCTGTTGAACTTCTTTTTAAACCTGTTTTGTAAAGCTCTTACAGTCTGAGGAGACAAAGTAATAATATGTGGAAAGTGATAATACCTTACATCACGTCTGACAGGTCTAAGCTGCAGGCTAGCTGGCTATAGTCCTATTTCCATGCTTGTTACCAAAATGTGTAGAAGTTGCTAAAGTTGCAGAGTGTTTGTTTGTCTGCAGCTTTTGTTTTGTAGCCCAGAGTCCCAACAATCATAGAATTCAGTGGATCTTCTGCTTCTCGCCTCTGAGGCTCTGCTGGACTGCCTGTGACGGCTCAGGCTAATTACAATTAAAATGGTGTGTGTGTGTGTGTGTGTGTGTGTGTGTGTGTGTGTGTGTGTGTGTGTGTGTGTGTGGTGTGTGTGTGTGTGTGTGTGTGTGTGTGTGTGTGTGTGTGGTGTGTGTGTGTGTGTGTGTGTGTGTGTGTGTGTGTGTGTGTGTGTGTGTGTGTTGTGTGTGTGTGTGTGTGTGTGTGTGTGTGTGTGTGTGTGGTGTGTGTGTGTGTGTGTGTGTGTGTGTGTGTGTGTCTCAGAGGACCCTGACCCACCTCACACACTTACATCATTCATGTCCATTTCACAGGCAGCGGCCAGTGACTTTCCTGATGGGAGTTTGTGCATTAATAAAATATGTGACAGACTGACAGTCTCCATGCTATAAAATAGCTTTCCCCGGAAGTCCCCCTAAAGGTAATTTTACTCCAACAATGTCAAGCTCAAAGTTGTTATAATTAGCATGAGAGAGGAACAGTATCCCCTTATTCCATCCTCTGTGCCTCTACACTACTTTGAAAAACACAACATAAAGGAGATGACAGGAATAGCTGTCATTTCAAATCAACACTGAGATGCATGTCTCACATGGCAGTCTTTTGTTTGACTGTTAACTTCCACGACCATCGGATATACATTGCCATGTAATTTAGGGTGAATTCTCTGAGAAGAATCCAAGTGCAGTTGGTTCAGAAGCCCCATTTCGTCCATAGAACCAAAATCCCGACCCCAAAACCAATGCAAAAAAAAACACTCTTCCTGCAACAGACATGACTCATTATTATGCTGAATTACTGAGGGCTGACATGTCCTAATCTGCCTCTGATTGGCTTACCATGTTATCCTAACCCTAAAACCAACCAATCTAACGCCTAAAAAGTGGAGGCGTGTGGCGCAGTGTTATGGAGCGTTCCCACTGCAGCGGGTAGCTCGCTCTAAGCGTGCCGAGCCGTGCGGGGCCTGTTTTTGGTTGCGTTTCCACTTGGCCTAGTACCGGCTAGCAGGTCCTAATTACAAAAGTTAAACAAGTACAAACCACAGACTGCCTGTGTCATGGTGAATACAGTCGCTGGTTTATTTATGTCTGTATAGGCCGTTGTTGTGAGTGTGGACGGTCGGAGCATATATAACGTTAGCTTAGCCAAGCTACATTTAGAAAACACGCATTTTAAAAGGGTTTTTCGCCTGCCGTCTGTCTGCAGACTTGTCAAAGCATTAATTCATGGTGTTTACTAACCGGTATCAGTATGTTGTTACTTCGGCATCATTTTGAAACGTGTATTACAATTAAATCACGGTCAAATATGTTCATGTTGTTGTAGTTGTATCCCCCTTGCCAGCGATTCTCTCTCTAGTTTAGCATACTCAGCCCGACTCAGCCTGGTTGTTCCTGGCCCTAGAACCACGATTTAGTCGGGACAGAAAAAAGGTGAAAAAGTAGCCCCGGGCCAAAACTAGGCCAAGTGGAAACGCAACCAAAAACGGGCCCCGCACGGCTCGGCACGCTTAAAGCGAGCTACCCGCAATGGAAACGCGTCATAAGGCCTAACCAAACCGAGCGAGGCCTGCAGTGGAAACGCGCCATTAGTGTGCTAATCTTCGAATCAGAGTATAGCAAGTTCAAACCCCACTGCAGTCAGCATGTCGTTGTGTCCCTGAGACACTTCACCCCAAAGTGCTCCTGTGGGGATTGTCCACAGTACTGAATGTATGTATGTCACTTTGGATAAAAGCGTCTAACATGTAATGTAAACCTATGCTATAAGTATTGGCCAATCAGAAGCAACGTAGCGCTTTGGTTTGATTTTTGGGAAAAGGATTCTCAGACAAATGGGTCTGATCAAAACATTCAGAAGCAGCTTTTAGTCTCATTGCTCTACACCAGTGGTTCTCAAATGGGGGTATGCGGACCCCTAGGGGTACGTTGGAGTACTGCAGGGGGTACTTGAGATTTATTTTATGTTAATGAAATAAAAACATTAATTTATTTAAACAAACTACTAATAGTAGATGAACTACTTTATTCAAAGGTTTACAGAAACTCTGGATAATAACATGGGAACAATAAACGGGGTGCTCTTTTCCTCTCCCTCTCCTGACAGCCCGTCAGGCTCGTGCAGCTCGCTGAACCTGTACTAAGTGACCCGACAGTAAAGAATAAATATATGTATAACTAGTTTAGCTAGTTCCAGAGTAGATAAACTAGCTAAGTGTCTTAGGTCTAACTCTTAGTGTATTTTGCTCGGCTCAACGGTCCGTCACAGCGGGGAGCTGTGATCATGTAGAGCTGCGTGTTCTCCGTCAGCAGCAGCTGATCGGATCTCTGATCTCTCTCTCGCGTCCGGTTAGACTTCACTCGCGTTTATGTCCAAATCTATCAGATCTAGCTAGTTCTAGTTAATGATATGACTGCCTGCTTATCAAAGGACCTAAACAATAAGCGTTGCTTGGCAACGGCGTGTGGCCGCAAAGTATTGCATAATGTTTTTATGAGGGGTCAAAAACCCATGCTCAAAATGCTCATATCTTTTCCTCTTCATTCCCCACGCCCCAAAGTAAATAAATATACTAATTTTAGGAAAAGTAAGGAAGTTTGAGCTGTGTGGGTTTTATATTAACAGAGTTACACATATTTCAAAATGCGAAGTGTAATAACTGCCTCCCTGTCAGAATGACAAAGATCCTCAGTGGTAAGTACAACTTATTAAAAAGATCAGTTCAATGCAACTAATGTCCTCTGTGTTATTGCATGATGTTAAAATTGGTTTGCCATAAATTTAGTGATGGATTGTAAACATTTGAAATGTAGCATGTAAGTGTTTCTCAGTTACAATGTTGTTGTTTTAATAAATCAGACACTGATGGTGCAGCGCTGTGCTGTACCTCTTTATATAGGCTTTTTTTCCCTAACAATTTTGTTTGCGTTGATCAAGGGGTACTTGGCTGAATTTGTTTTTCAAAGGGGGTACATTATTGAAAAAGGTTTGAGAACCACTGCTCTACACATACGGAGCTTGTGGAACACCTTAAATCTGACCCAAACATGAGTTTTATTTAATGAATCTTAAAACATTTGATTATTACACTTCTGTGTTTCCAATCATGATGTTTAACTATCTTCCCTCCCTTTTTGAAATTGTCCTCTTTTACTTTCTGTTTATTGTAAGTGGTAATGCTTGAGTACAGCACTTTAAATTGCGTTAGTGTCTTAATTGTGCTATATAAATAAACGTACCTTAACCTTCTGTCCAATGGGACATTTTACAGACTATAGGGAATGAAATAAAACGGGCCTAGGAACAATGGTACATCACTGTGTCGTCAGCAACAGTACATATGGTATTTAATTTAATATATGG